TCCTTCGACGTTTCTTCTCCGAACGTTAAAGGTGCTACGTTGATTATTTTACGACAAGTTTCTTTGTGCTATTCAATTTTAATACAAATTTAAATTAATTTATCTTGAAGATTGTGTGCATGCCTTACATCGATGCGCACCTTGGGTTTCCACCAGCAGCTCTCACATGAAGGCGCTACAGGGCTGCCCGCAGTCGTGAAATTGAAGCATTTATTTTGTACACTTTCTTTTCCCATGCGGTTTACATGCAGAAAAACGTTTGTTTAACATGTCATTAATTATTCCTTTGGTAAAATGAAAGTATCGTCATTGCGGGCTTCAGCGTGAGAATTTCGTAGCCGCGGTATCGGAGGCTCCAGTGGTGGTCGAACGGCGTTTTTTCGGCTACTGGCTTCGCCGCATTCTTTCGAATTTTCAAGGTCACGGTCGAAAACGAGGCGCAAATCCTCTCAGGTGACCATCCTTCGCAGCGGCGTCGTGATGGAAAAGTGTCTTTTAATTTAACTATTTATTTCGAAATTACTAAAGGTACTTCTTAAAGCCGACAACAGCCTTCCTCTGTTCCTCTTAATTTTTAAATCGGCGTTGAGCATCACAAGAGGAAGGAGGTCATAATCGAGAAAGAACAAAATAACTGCGGTTCATTTATGCGCATCAAGACAGAAAATGTTTATCGCGATCTTCTTCAGTTTTTCGTGAGGAACAGAATTATACTCGATGCATGAATCATTTTTTGCCTGTCTCCAATCATATTTTACTAATAAAATTCTCATCAGCTTGCGTAGAAGAGACATATCGAGTTTGAACTATCAATCAGAGCGAAAAGTTGAAATTTAAAATCGGTCATCCTTAAAAATAGTAGTTACGATCACTGCATTCTCAAAACTGCAGTCCTCACCTCCCATTTCAAGACAGCAGCAAAGAAGCTCGTACTTCTTTTCTTATTCATTAACGCTAATTAGACTGTCTGTATCCCCCTCCAGCTGAAGCAGTACGCATTTCCGGATGCATCGCCCCCCTGATCACTTTCTTCGGTCCATTGATGTTCTCAGGTTTCATGAAGAACGACTTTAGATCACTGCCTCGAGGCTTAACGTTGGTAGTTAGGATCAGCAATTAGAATCTCTCTTAAAGAAATTGCTGGCCAAATTGCCAGAATAACAGGTGTACCCGCCTGTCTCCTGGATTATATAGCCTTCTGACGTGTACAGTCACCCTTCGTACCCAAAGCTGCAGTTCAAAATGTTCCTACTGCCTACATTAAGGCACCCGCCGCCAGTTCAATCAACACTTTTTCAGCTCGGATCGAGTTCTACCCTCCATCGACTGCACATCTCCTCAAAAGGAATCTGAAAAAGCCAGAGCGGCGAGTACACTTGCCCGTACATCATCCATCATCTAATCTGCCATTAACCTTTTGTATATAAATACTTCATAGGGACTAAAGTAGTACTCTAGCTAATATACCTGACTGACTGACTACAGCGTACTGATAGCAAGGATATGAGAATCTTAGACTGTGACGACATCAGTGCCGGCCGAAGTATGCCTATATGCACTGTGCCCCAAAGGAAATTTCACGTCGTTCAAAATCGCCATTTTCCTCGTGGATGAGTGAGGGGGGGTATGGTATAGAAAGCAGGCTTCGTATCACCTGACTTGTTGCTTTGCTAAATGCAGCTTACGTCACCGTTGGCTAGAACAGAACAGGGTCGTTTGAAGAAGCCATAATGTGCTTCAACTTTTCCAAATTTCGAACACTCTTGTTTCGGTCGGTTAATAAACGCTTGTTCTAATCGAACGTGGTTTCATGATGTTAAGACAGTGCTACTGTGTGCACTAGCACTTTTACAGAGAAGTCTGTTCTTCAAAATTTTGTTCCAGGTGTAAATTAGCTCGTGCCATTTTTTATTCCTTTAACTAGTTCCTATCATCGCCTCGGATCGAGGTTCGCGACGAATGGCACAACGCACAAGGTTACTCATTTGCAGTATTCCTCAAAAGCATGGGGTAACTGCTAGTAATTCCTAAAATGATTGGTTGTAATAGTATTGTCGAGGAATTAGGTATCAACCCGTAGCCCATTAAAGTCATTGTCAGTGTTGCCATTCCTCTTTTTCATCAGAATGCGGTAAACCTGTGCTAGCAAACAGAAGACCTTCGTTTACTTCGCGCACAACTTCCATTAGGTTTTCTTTTCTTTGCCGGCAAGTTCAGAAGGAATCCAGGAGCCGCCATTCTGTTTAAAGCTTGCTTGGTTTATTTCCGTAGCTGATGGCACCATGCATCCACTGGTCAACTGGATTATCAGCTGTGTCGCAAACCAAATATTGACCTCTGGGGTCAGCAGACTATTCAAGGCGCCAAGCCACCGGTCGGTGTTGACCTTAGATGTTGTTGCTGTTCGTCGAAATCTACCTCAAGCTTTCAGTTGGTACGTCGACATTTAGTCAAATGGATTTACAACCTTCCGTCTTCTTTGGATGTCTTCATTTTATGGCAGAAGGGAACCAATGTTTTAAAAAAAAACCACTACATGATTTAGACTTTTATGATTTTCCGCATATGCTAATGAAATTAGTAATTCAAAGGTATACTACTGGGTTTTTTTCAGCATGATAAAATTTCACTGACGTGAACTAAAGCTTAACGTATGACTCTGCGAAACGCTATCAACGCATAGATAACTGATTTGGAGGTTGCATCACTACATCCAAAATGGATAGCTGGAATCAGGTAACATGAAGCCATTTAAATGGTTGAATCGCAAAATAAGGAAATACCGGCGAAATCGGATGAAGGCATTGAAACACTGACAAACAGACGATCAGCATGTTTATTTACAAGTAGCGATATAGGATGAGTTTCGTGTTGAGAAGTTTATGAGACTTACAGCAGGGAAAAGAAAAGGCATGCCGTACGTGCATATGATCAGAAATACAGAAGGGGAAGATAACTAGTATTTATAAAGATTTTTCTGGTGGACAACAAAGGCAAAACCGACTGCTTATTGAAGAGAATTAGCGAGCAGTTTTTAGCTTCGATGCCTCCCCTGAAATGACCTTTCGTTTGGTAACCTTTATATGTAGAATCGTCGCGCACTCCCTAAGCCCGACCGAACGTGAGGGCTATTCGTCTGGAGAGGATCAAAAGCTTTCGGTTGGAATGGACTATGTGCAGAACCACTGAAAGGTGAAGTGAAAGCTTAATCAGGTTAGATTCGCCACGTTTTCGAGAGTGTGCGGAAATCGCGAGTAATACCTGAAGTATGGAAAAAGGGAGTCATCATTCCAGTTGACGATTGACAACGACCAATAATATAATGAGTTATTGCACAGCATTGCGAGGTTGGCCGTGTGTGCTTGGCAGCTCATGGTACTGTTGGCTGCTCACGTCCAAGCGCTACGTGCAATAGGATCGGATCGCCGAACTGGCGCACAGCATTCGTAGCATTCCCATCGCTGTAATGTCTTTTCCCTTAAACTCTTCTGCCGTCACTTTAATACCTTAAAGCGGTTTGCGCTTGGTGTAACGTGAATCGGTTCGTGACTGATCGGTTGTACGTATCCAGGCGATCTTTCGGCGATTCGGGCAGTCGGCCGTGTGATTGATGGCACGCGACACTTGATTCCGCTTGTCTCCCTCAGGCGGGACTCGGGACGTAGCGACGACCCGATAAGGAGGCAAAAGGCGAGCCTGATAGGCGTTACTTAATGCTCATCATTTTTATGTATTGCTTTCGAAGATGGTGATGGCGATTACGCCGTTGTTGTTGTGAGGCTACGCGCTTCGCCGAAGGCGAGGGCGAATCAGATTTCTATCTGGTGATTTACGGACGCTGTCGCGGACGCGTTTCCAGCTCGTTTCCTGACCGAACGATTATGAACCACGGATTCAATTAACTACGTCGTCGATGGAGGGCCGGCGACTGTCACCCCCGCCACTGGTCAAGCTAATGGAGGGCTTACGCCCCGACGCCAGCCTTGGGTTCGGGAAGCTGAAGCACTGATCCGAGCGGATTGGCATTTCAAGTGCCTGGTGTCTTTTTTACGATGTCGCTGGCTCCACGCCATGTTCTACCGTTTTTCTGTCAACGTTCTTTGCATAAAAACTTGATTAGGTGAGAAGCAGCGGGTTTCGAAAATAGTACTTTACGTTAAGTGGACTGATGCGAGGGAGGACTAGTGTTGACATCACCGAATGAAGTACAGCGTAGCATCTTTTTTTTGCCTGACCACTAATACTTTCCTTCAACAGTTCTGGTGAGAAATAAGTCTGCTGCGTCCGACAAGAGAAATGACATTTCTGTTAGGATCTGTTTATATTCATAAGTTATAGTTACCATAAGTTAACAGACTGTTAATTGATTGGACAAGTTTTTCGATAAGTTTTTCTCCCTGTCCTTAAAGGACCTTGCTGAAAACAGTAGCTACAGCGATAACCGACAATATATCTTTATTTTAGTAACATTCAGTGAAATATGACAAGTGTGGTATGAACATCACCTCAGCACGAAGCCTCTGCCAAGGGTTAGGCAGTTGCAGTTTTCTTAAAATCATGGCTGCTTCTAGCGGGGTCGCCTTCTACAGTTCTTCCACGTTCATCTCTTAATTACTTTTTTTAGTAGGCGTTGGTGGTTTCTTTTTACTGCTCCGAGTATACCGACCACCACGGAAATGACTTCAGCATTTACTCTCCAGGTCTTTTTTGCTTCCATCCTCAGTTCTTAACATGTTACTGTCTTTTCTTCCTCTCCTAACAACATTTACGTCAGTCGGTGTTATATCAATGGTTAATACCTCCTTTTCGCTTGGTCCACCAACACCATATCCGGACGACAAGCCAGTATCATTTTTCTCATTTCGTAATGATAAGTCCGTGGGTATTTTCACTTGCTCGTTCTCGGCTGATGTTCCCACCATCTATTGCTTTGCCGTTGGGTAAGTCGGCTCGCTTGTACAAGGGCCATCGGTCTATGTACGTTTCCCTGTGTTCTCAATTCGCGCGCGTTTCGCAGTCGCAAATTAAATGGCTCATGGTTTCATCCTTCACTTGATGCATTTTGCACTTTAGTTCAAGCTGCGTGTGCAGGATCTTCGCTTTGTACAAGTTCAGTGCTTGGACTTGGGCGGCTATTAAAAGGCCTTCCATTTAGCCATGTCTGCTTTTTGATGTTCACTTGAAAGTGTGGTGGCTGTCTGTATCTTCACCGAGGTGATGAAGATACTGTTCATAAAGAACCCTACTCTTCCAACCATTGCATCGAGCGTTTTCTACATTTTCCTGAGGATTTTCCGCATTTTCAACGACAGTTTACTGTACTAGCTAACCTTTACAGCCTAAGCATCCTATCATTGGACTATTTAGTTCTTTTACGGATGTTGCTTACAACTTCAGGTCAGTTCCATGTACCGCAGTTTGATATGACAGTGCAGTCTTTCAGCTTATATCTTATGCCTTATATTATTATTCAACAATTCACTGAGCGGAATCACGGCTAGACAAGGTAAAAGCGACTGCATTAAATTGTGCTGAAATATTTGTAGCTTGTTCTTGATCGATTCAAGGGAGACTGTCATATGGCAGTGTTTTGTTTTTTTTAAATTTATTGGCCTTACGTTGAGGTCGTAAAGTTTTAGTCATTGAACGATCCAGCTCTGTGGTGCTACAGGAAATGTTT